ATTGTTTCTCTTTCTAGAATATCAGTATTTTTTGTAGGTTTGGTTTGGTGGTCATGAATTCTTTGTTATTCTGCATTATGAAAATATCTTATCTCACCACTAAATTTGATAGACAGCACTGCAAATACATCATTCTGAGTTAGGAGTTATTTTCTTTCCAGACTTAAAATACTTCACTCCAAGATCTTCTTGATTGAATGATTTACATTGAGAAAACTGTCATGACTCTGATGGTCTTTCTATTGCAGGTGATCTGTTTCTTCTAATAGCTTTTAATATTTTGTTCTTTTACAGAATTTCCATGATCTTATTATATGTCTAGGTATAGATTTATTTTGTTATTGGCTAATTGGAGTTTTTTATGCCTCACTTATTGTATGTCAGATTCTTTTCTCATCCTTGGAAATTTTCTGCTACCACTTCTCTAAACAGTCTTTTTTATGTCATTTGTGGTGACTCCTGCTATTTCATTGACTCCTCTTAGTCTTACATTATTTTTCTTTGTATTATCTTGTAGTTGCTCAATTATTTTCTGGTTTTCTTATTTTTAAGAGCTCTTTTGTGTTAATTAGCTGTCATGCTATCTTCAAGGTCTGAAAGTCTATTTCCAGTTTTGTTCAAGCAATTTTGCCAGCTTTCAATGAAATTCTTAATGTCCTGGATGTCTGCTTGAACAGCCTCTTCTGCAGCTGGCAATAAGCCTCAGGTGGGCCTCCCACGCCCATCACCATGCTAGTTCAGTCCAGCTGGGTGTAACAAGTTGACCACCAATCAGCAACCCGCTATACATGCAAAATGCAGTATTACTAGCCACAAAGAAGGATAAATTTCGGAACTTAGAAAAAATGGGGTATACAGATGAATGTCCATTGTGTATCTATGTATTCAAAGTGGTTAGGATAGATATATAGTTGCATTCTCTTAATGAATAGAATGATTTGTTCTAAAGGTGTTTATAAATAGGATCACAAGTCTGCATCTTGTACAGCAATTAACCACTAAGAAGAATATA